AATTGAACCAAATATGGCACACAGAACTCCCACGACAAACAGAAAATATATATCAATGATTGGTTGTGGGGGCGCCAAAATACTGTTTGCTTACCGTTGAAAATTACCTAGGTCCGCTTCTGATTGGTTGGATCAAGAGTTGGAGAACATGAGATCTTCCAGATGTTGTCAAACTGCAGGTCCCATCATGGAAAAATTTATAGATTTCCACCTATTGGTGGACCTGGATTCCATCATACATCAAAAACAACTCGCATAGCTATTTTTGAGGTATGATGGAACCCAAGTCCAACAACAGCTGGAAATCCACAAATTTCTCATTCCTGTTTTACGGGATGGAAAATTTATAGATTTCCAGCTATTGGTGGACCTGGATTCCATTATACATCAAAAATAACTCAGATAACTATTTTTGAGTTATGATGGAATCCAACTCCAACAATAGCTGGAAATCCACAAATTTCTCATTCCTGTATTAAGGGAATGGAAAAATTATAGATGTCCACCTATTGGTGGACCTGGATTCCATCATACATCAAAAATAACTCGGATAGCTATTTTTGAGGTACAATGGAATCCAACTCCAACAGTAGCTGGAAATCCACAAATTTCTCATTTCTGTGTTAAGGGATGGAAAATTAATAGATGTTGTCCACCTATTGGTGGACCTGGATTCCATCATACATCAAAAATGACTCAGATAGCTATTTTGAGGTACGATGAAATCTAAGTCCAACAATAGCTGGAAATCCACAAATTTCTCATTCCTGTATTAAGGGAATGGAAAATTTATAGATGTCCAACTATTGGTGGACCTGGATTCCATCATACATCAAAAATGACTTGGATAGCTATTTTTGAGGTACGACGGAATCCAAGTCCAACAATAGCTGGAAACCATCAAATTTCTCATTCTTGCATGAAGGGAATGACTTTTGGGAGGATTACTCCTCCATGTTGTAAGATCAAGGGTCTGGAGAACAAGTCCTATGAGGAACGACTTAAAGAGCTGGGCAAGTTTAGCCTATAGAAGAGAAGGCTGAGAGGAGATGATGGCCATGTATCAAGAGATGAGGAGAAGTCATAGGGAGGAGAGAGCAAGCTTGTTTTCTGCTGCCCTTGAGATTGTCATAAGCCCTTCTTTGAAGGAACTTTGATGCTTGTTTCTTCCAGGATCTCCAGTTCAACGGCAACTCAAGATGTGCTCTCGCAACGATCCAGCTCCTCAAAAGAAGAACCCATTCCCCCAAGAGGAGGAAGAAAAATCTTCCAGCGGCAAAAGGGAAAGCTCTTCTTGCTGCTGTTCCAGAAAGCCAAGTGAGGAACCCCCTGCACCCACTCACCCATCCCCGTGCCAAGAGCAGCAGCAAGTCAAGCAGCCGACCAAATTGCCTCCACATCATGCCAAGTAGAAGAGACACGTGCAGAAGAAAGCCACCCAGCAGATGAAGGGAAACCAATGTGTTTTGGGTTGCCGATGCCACCCTTAAAAATAATACCTTGCCTCTTTGCATGCTTTGGCAGTATTCTCGGTTCGGCGCTGATATGCTATTCTGATGCTTTTTATGTGGTTGATGAAAATGGAACGTCTGCTCTCCCCTCCTGTGGACAACAGGAATTATTAAATTACATTTTCCTTGAGTTTTATGCTGCATTTCGTTTGATGGGAGAAGGGGGATTAAGCCACACATCCGAAAATAGCCCACCTTAACTCCTCTTTTGAAAGGAGGAACACAAACATCTACTCCTCATTCTGTTAAGAAAACTGACCGAGAATAGCCAATGGAAACTCAGAAGAGGAAGCAGTTAGAAGTTACCAGGGTGCAATTCACACTGCAGATTTACCATACTATTATTTTATTTCAATTGATATCAGTCTATACCAGTGGTTCTCAACCTGTAGGTCCCCAGATGTTTTGGCCCTCAACTCCTAGGTCTATCACTCTATCACCTATCTATCTATCAATACCTGAAGATAGGCATCTCTTAGGTCTATCACTCTATCATCTATCTATCTATCTATCTATCTATCTATCTATCTATCTATCTTGCAGTGGTTCTCAACCTGTATGTCCCCAGCTGTTTTGGCCTTCTAGATCTATCACTCTATCATCTATCTATCGGGACATGAAGTTAGGCCTCTCTTAGGTCTATCATGCTATCATCCATCCATTTATCTATTGCAGTGGCTCTCAGCCTGTTGTTCCCAGATGTTTTGGCCTTCAACTCCTAGGTGTATCACTCTATTTATCTATCAGGACCTGAAGATAGGGCTCTCTTAGGTCTATCATTCTGTCATCCATCCATCTATCTATTACAGTGGTTCTCAAATTGTTTTGGCCTTCAACTCCTAGGTCTATCACTCTATCTATTAGGCCTGGGTAACAACGGAAAAATTTGTTTCTAAAATCGATTTGTATTTGGGGGTTTTTTT